TTTTGCGCTCGCTGAAGGTAAGATTGTTTCCTTTCCTACAAACTCCTGTTCTTAATAATAATTGTTTAAAGCGCTGTGTGACGATTTGGGCATTTTGAAAATTTCAGTCAAAGCTCGCAATTTCCTGCTTTTCATTTGCAACTGATCCGATTCTTAAAATGTTCTCCAATCTTGGCCACTCTGCTCATTATCTGCTTGTTCAGTGTTCTCTCTTTTAAGTTTTTTAATCCTATGTTTCTTTTAAATTTTCTTATTACTCGACGTAGAAAAATAGGCAAAATGGAACTGGGAAGTTTTATATATTTTTTGCACGTGTTTGCTTTAGAGTTGTTGGAAACTATGGTACAAAACAGGCATGGTCTGCGTAAAAATTTGTTGTTGTTGATGAATTGTTAGGCTTGAGCTTTAAGCTTTCGATTTGTAGCGAGGAAGGCATATGCATTGGCATGAGATCGTAAGAGGGGTCTTAGGGTGTGCCGCCCAATTTCTCAAAAGTGCCTTTTAATTCGTCTAAAGTAAACAACGGGATGTTCAACTAAGAAATTTAAAGTTGTTCGATTGTATCGAAACTGAATATTTGCCAATCGATCCGTTTAAATCGAAAGCATATAAACCAGACCAGGAATATACTGCTGGTTTTGGTTCATTATCAACACATCTACCATAAAAATCTGCTCCACTGTCAACCACTGCCATGACCTTACAGACCAGAAATCCAATGATTTCGTCTGCATTTCACCTAAACCAATGGTGCATTTATAAGCATTGCATTACACGTATCAGCTCATTGAAGGAGCGGTGCCTGTTACAGAAATTACGGTCCATCAGTGAAAGATTGAATGGGTGTTTCAACATAGTGCATGTATAAGCATTGCATTGCACGCATTAGCTCATTGAGGAAGCGGTGCCTGTTGCAGAAATTACAGTCCATCAGTGAAAGATTGAAGTTTATCTTTTCAATGATTTATGATTTATAAGCCCTATCCCTTAGATAGGTAATGCAAAAACGATCATGATTTACTTTATTTTATTTTATTTTTTTTGCGTTTTAGACCATTATTTCAACATCAAACCGAATTTCATGACCAGTTACTGACTTACGAATTTTCCAGTGAAACTGCTTCTATTTCATTGCCTATTTTCTTTTTCCGTATACTTCTTTGGTTGAATGCATGCTTAATCTTTAAAATGTGGTAAGCCTGTTTAAGTCAATGGAAAGGTTCCTTTTTTGTGATTGTATCATGATATTATCAGATTATTACATGGTAACTATTTAATTTTGTTTTACATGCTTGAGCAGGAAATTGCGGTTCTCGTCCAATCACCAGAATTGTGGGTGGTCACGAGGCTGCTATAAACAGTTGGCCATGGCAAGTTATGTTGAGGTATTCGTCTGGTTTCCCTTTTTGTGGAGGATCTCTCATCGATCCGAGTTGGGTTGTAACCGCAACGCATTGCGTAACAGACACACACCATTCTAGTGTTAAAGTCAGGTAACTTATCTGTTTCTTCAGCATCTTCCAATACTGAATATTCTGAAAGTCTTTGAAGTTTATTTACCCGAACACATTCACTGCTAATTCAGTTCGAATTTCTTTAACTCCATTTATCTAAGCCCATCCCCCTTTATTTAAGTAATTTTATCTTCTTCTACAGCCTAAGGCCTTCAGTGGCTAAAAAGCAGTCCTCCTCTAACAGTTTTTATTGTAAAAATAGGTTGGGCGCTCACAGCCGCGTGGGTGAAACTGTTGGAACTGAGCAGGACATTGACGTTGCGGAGATTATCACCCATGAAAAATACCATTCCCCTCTGAGATATAGTCACGACATTGCCCTTCTCAGATTGGAAAAGCCCGCCAAGTTAGGCAAAGGAGTCGGTCTTGTCTGCTTGCCAGATCTCAATCTACCTCTTCCATTAGACGACCTCAACAAGAGAAAGAAGTGTTGGATCACAGGGTGGGGAAGACTATCCTCTGGTGGTGCTGTCCCTTCAGTTCTACAGCAGATTGATGTACCACTGGTGTCAAAGCAGCGCTGTTTGAAGGGGTACCCAGGAGAGATTCACGACTCCATGTTGTGTGCAGGCCTAGACCAGGGTGGCATAGATGCCTGCCAGGGTGATAGCGGTGGTCCTCTTGTTTGCGAGTTCAATGGAAAATGGTATCTGGAGGGGGTGACAAGCTGGGGATATGGGTGCGCTGCGCCAGGAAAGTTCGGTGTCTATGCTAAGGTTCGGAATCTGCACTCCTGGATCTCAAAAAAGATAACTGGGGTTGTGCCACCGAAGCCAGGTATGTCAACTGACCTCTTGAACCTCAACATTTAACAGCTAGATTTCTCCGCTGATGGATAAAAAGTTTATTTTGGAAGGCTTCGTCCAGAGAATTTGGTTTCATATCCAAACCACATTCACCCGTCTACAATTACGGGACAGAGTAATGGGAATTCATTTATTGATTACTTCTAGAAGAGAGAGATACTTAAAAAGCTTGTCTGAAAGTTTTAGACCTTGAGATGACAAACATTAATCCCTCTACTAAGCCCTTTAAGAACTTGTCTTTGTCCATAAGGCAATCTATCGGAGATGCATTTTCATTTTAAGGGGTACTCTGAGCCGGAAGGATTGGTGGGGGGCAATAACAAGAACTGAACGTGAGTTACAAACACTTTGGCATATGACGAAACTCACCCAGTTTATTTATTCTATACGCCAAAATTTCCAGTAAAGAATAATCTCTGCCGTATAAATAATGCCATTGTCACAGACAACTTTAACACTCCCTCTGAAACTGTTGAAATGCTGAAGCGATAACAGGTATGTTAGGGCTATATCGCCCGATAATCCCCTTTCGAAGTTGTGCAAAATCAATTTTTTAAGTTAACAGAGCAATAAAATCCTTTAATTTATAACATTCGACATCACAAGTCAATCGGTTTTGATACTATGCGGAGGCACGTTCACTGTAGGTAACTCAAACGGAGGATTAATTTATGCCCCGATCAATTCGAAGATTCAACAAACCCCGACCAACGGGCATTTGACTGTCGTCCATGCCAAGGGGATGGGGGGGATTTGAACCATGCCTGGGTGGTGTGGGGAATTTGAACCGGAACTGTCGAGTATTTCCAACGGAATAAACGTGTATCATCTTGTAATGTGGCCCAGAAGAAAAAGTCTACAAGAAAGTCATGGTCGCTAATCATGCTTTTTACCAAAAAATTGAAGATGTATCCGACATTTGAATGAGGCATTTGAACATAGAGGAGTGGGAATTTAAGGGAGCCAATCTTCAAAAGATCAAATGCCCCAGAGATTGCCCGGGGGAGCAGGGGGGAGGTTAAAACTTCGAATTGATCTACTCATTAATTTTCCCACCTACCACGTAATTCTTTACACCTTATCAATTCGAACAATAATAAATGCCTTTTTCCTACCTAGATTGCAAAGACAGCGATGCTTTTGCCAGTCAGTGTCCAACTTTAGCAGGGTATGAAGGCTACTGTAAAGACCATCATGAGTGGACCAGGAAGTATTGTGCCAAGTCGTGTGGCTGGTGTTAGTGTGAGTATTCATGAACACTAATTCAACTTGAGATTGCATCTTAAAAGAAACCAGGAAACTTTGAGGGAAACTCTTTCCAAAGACAAACGTATCTTGCACATTCCAGCAAGATTTGGATACTCAGCGTTTTTCCTCGCCCCTGTCCTAAAGGTTTATTAGAACAATTCAGAATCATTCCAAAGTTATATCGAGGTGTTACCCGAGAACTTTTATCTTTTCACTTAATTTAAATACAATTTGTAGGTTATACATCATTCACTCCCAAGATCTGATAAATAATTCTCCCCTCTTGCTGATACAGATTTCCGTATAAATAAGGAACGAGAATTTGGTGTTAGATCAAGATAACAACTTCTACTTGATAAGTCTGAATATTCCTATTTCGTTTTTGCTGGATAAGTTATGGAACATATAGGGAGATGTTTCATGTCACTTCCTTTTAAGAGTTACAGGGTTAAAGCATATTTTTTTCCTCAGTCATCAGTTAGGTGATTGCCTTCATTCGGTCAAAGTTTTCCATATGATCAGCTGCAGTAGAAACAAAATGATACGGTCGACTAAAGGCTTCTTTTTTATATTTTGCAGAGGAACGCAAATTTGGATGCACGCTCAAGCGTAAGCCATTTTCTTCAACATCAAAGTTGGGGTCAGAATAAATCCCGTATTTAAAAGTTTATAGCAGTGCTTGTTAGTTGTGGAAAATAAAGTTGAAAAAAGTTTAAGTTGACTTTCTTTGTTTAAATATATATACATTTTTTCTAGTTAGCCTAGCATAGCTGCTTTGTTGTTGTCATCTTTGTTCTTGATATGTTTTATTTCGTTTTTTAAGCATCTTTTTCTTGCCAGCTCAAGATTGCCTACTTTCTACCCACTTAAAAAAAATTGTCTTACTTCCCCATAAACATTTGATTCAACTTTCAATAACCCTGTACTCACCCCTGGCCGAAAAACACATGGAGCGCACTTCGATCGAGTGTCGTAAAACCAAAATAGTTACGATGGCAAATCAGAACTCAGAGTGAAAACAACGACAACAAACTGCCTAAAGCGCGGGAAAACGAAGGTGACTAAGTCGCGATTGATTTAGTTTTGCAGCTGATTGAAAAAGAGTGAAAAGAGTGGCGCGAATTTTCTTGACTAGTCACATGCAAAATCAATGCAATTTCGAATTACTTTCGATACCAAATGAAAATCGCTCTAAATATTTCCTGGGGTTGGCCTTACAAAGCCGCAAAAGCTCAAGGTTGTCCTGTAATTGTTTACTGGAGAGCTGAAATTTTTGTAAAGGGTTAAGCGTTCCTTGGAAACGACAAGAAATGACGCAGATGAATCATAATGAAAACTTCTTGCTGTCAGGCTTCAATATAAAGCTGGTAACCATTTCCCGGGTGGAGCAGGTAGAATTATTTGCGGTCATATAACTCTTGAAAATAAAACATTCAGCGAGATAAATATGTTTTATTTATCTATTTACAATCACTTATACAAAATACGTAAGAAGTTATATAATTACATATTTAAGAGCTTGTGCAATGTTATTAAGTCGACGAAATAAGGGTAAGGAAAAATCTCCTAAGTAAAATACTTGTATTTAAGATTACAACCATCCCCAGTTTTTCACTGTTATAACCGATTACCTCACGTGGCCCGAATTCTTTGCTTAGGACCACATCTTTCCATTGAATATCTCTGCATATTCTAGCCATCTATTGTTGTCATTGAATAATAACATAATATTATATAATTTAATACAATCTTGTGAAACAAACTCCTAATGGGTTGTTTTTCGTGACTGGAATGTAAAATTTAAAAGATCGTAAATAATGTTGCTTATTACAGCAAATACATTATCCCTTGATTAACTGCGATAAATTGGGCAATAAATACATGCTAAGTGTTTCAGAGATACGCTTATTCACAGATTTTAAACATTTTTTTCAAAATTGCAGGATCGAACGGACCCCATCCTTTCCTTAACCTAAGAAAAAAGATCGAAGAGATAAAGTTGCGCGTAAATTTGCCCGAGCGACTGAGTTATTTTCAGTTTCAAGATTTCTACTATTTTATGAGAACTGAGGATTTTTCTCAGGAATTTTCGAAAGTTTCAATTTCTTCTTTCCTTCAGCTATTTTCCAAACTCATAACAAATTGCAACCTTAACCCAGCGCACAACTTTTTCCCCGCAGTATCATGCCCTAAAAGGCCGCTACTATTCTTCAATATAACTATGAAGCTGCTTTATTTACTCTAGCCTGAGTTTTGACGGACCACTGAAATATGCCACCAACTTCTTTCATAGTTTTATACATTGTTTCGCACTGTGTTGACTTGAATGTCAACTTAATATATTTTATCACAATGTAATACAATGTAATTATAAACGTAAAAACTATGCGAGCCTCGAGCAAGCTTATCCCACAGAAAAAGGTAATTTTCAAGCAACTCTCTCGTGTTTGAAACACAGACAATTTACTAACATATCCGCCCCTTACTAAAACCCAAACCAGACAGGTTGTCAATGAACACAACTATTATATGTTGAAATTCATCTCATTGATCCACCATCCTCTCATAGATATACTAGCTACGACCTAATAAAATAATTGTATGATACAATTTGTACAGTATTGATAGATTACACAGCATGCAATTGGAGGAGACATGATACAATACAGACTACGTATGAAACACGCCTTCACCAGAGTTGCATGTCATGGCACCCATTCAGTTCTGAGGATCATTTAATCGAGTGCGTTATGTCAAGCATTTAGAGAACCGTTACTTTTTCGACAATGACCTCTTTTCTCACTGTCTCCGAACTCTTGCTATTTGCAGGTCTGCTAACCATCAGCCTCATGGATGGTGGAAGGGAGTTCCGCCGCTGCTCACGCGGGCGCAGCTTTGCTATCATACCTTCCAGTCCGTTCGATGAACTCACTTGTGAATTCCGCCTCATTTCACCACTCGAGTATGAGTATTTTCGCCTCGAACTTGTTATTTTAGGAATCTGAGAACTTTTTACTCTACGACACAGCGAAATACAGTCTCTCTTAAATTGTGCAGTAAAAATAGCGTATAGGAAAGGGTTAGCGCAACTGTTGAGAGGAAACACGAAAACTGTAAATATTTTTGCGTCTTTAAGGCTCACATACTCTCCACCAAACGCTGCGGTGAGAGAAAACACAGTTATGGGTGCCCAGCACGAAAAGTCTGTAAATATGAGAATTGCCATTCTTAATGCAGTTCTTGAGTCATTTGTGTTCCAGGCGTTTGAGCCACGGATAGCGCTGTAAATTCTACAGTAACAAGTTAATATGACGATGAACGCTGACCCATTTAGTATGAGCACTGATGTAACGTATACCAAAGATTTCGTGTTCCCAGTCTCAAACGGCAGACAAACGCTGAATTTGGTATAGTCGCTGACCCCGAACAACGGCAGTGTTGCAACTGTGAGAGCGAAACACCAACCAACAAGCATCACAAGGTACGTTTTCTTTAAGCTCATCTTTTTAGTGATGTCCAACGCATGCGTGATAGCAATGTAGCGTTCAATAGTGATTACAGTCAACGTGAAAACTGATGTTTCGCTTGACAATACAGCGAGAAACCCCGCTGTCCTACACCCTGGGCTCAACTGCCACTCGACACCATAGCTCCGAAAGTTTCCGAGGGTTGACGCATCGACGACTGCTAAAAGCCCGAGATACACACCCATGCACAAATCTGCTACAGCTAGATTACAGATCAGAAATCTAGACACGTCGATTCGTGAGCTGCGTGTAATGATCACAAAGATGACTATGGCGTTGCCAAGCAACGCAAGCAAGAACACTATCCACACGCCGATACGGAGGAGCGAAGAGTCCATGAGATCATCACACGGGAAAAAAGGGTCAGCAGGCTCAGGGGTGCACGTGACTTGGTGGTCGTCGTCC